ACTAATGGTAATAGATAGTCAGTGATTTTTAGCAATTGATCAATACTTTGACACTAACTACAGAGAATTTTAAATTCTAAGGTTATCGGAAAATTTTGGCAGCTCAAATTAATACTAGAGTTCGGATCTAAAATTATTTCAATTCATGTTCATAAAATGATTACAGTTGATTAATTAATTTTGATACTTGGTAAATGATATTTATGTATTCTGTAGCAAATTAAAAAAAAGTTAAAGAAAGTATAATATCCAATATATAAATATTTATTAAAAATTAATAAAAACACTTTTACCAGTTTCTTAGGGCATTTCAAACTACTTAAAAATTTTAGAGACTCTTATTCTACTCCACAAAACTTCACTCGAATCTTCACTACCCTTTTGAATATTGCATAACAGGATTAGAATACTGAATCTCAATAAAGCTATAAACGAGTGGTAGTATTAAATTTTGGTTAAATTTAGTATCTAAAGAAAATAAGAATAGACAAATTAAATGAATATACATGTATAACTAAAAATAGAAATATTTTTAAATGTATTCATTTAATTTTTTTTTTAATTATTTTGAAATCTGACGATTTGTTTGCCTCAACAGTGGAAACACGCGGTAAATCGGCATTTACAATTGTAATTTACAATTCCTTTGGTGGCGGTTTGGCCTAGATTCGAATCCAGGTTGATAATGTCGATAATCCTAAAGATTGGAAACGTGTTTTGATCTATCATAACACCCGAACTGAAATATATAAAGTTTGAAGAGGAGAAATAAATCATCATTAAGAATCAGCGGAATATATCTACATGTACTTGCAAATAAAATATACTCGAGGGGAAATTAAAAAACTTTTACAAAATATAGTCGTATTATCTGCACTTAAAATGAAATTTAAAATTAGTAGTAGAGGAATGAAAAGTTTCGCTAGTTGGCGCTATCTTGAGTTCCTTTACAAAATGCTAAAATGCAATGAGAACAAGGTAGATCATTTTTATCAATTCAGAGAGTTTAGCCATCCTTTAGGCAACTAAAATTACATTTGACAAGCCATTTGACAGCTGATTAGTTAATTTCTACTATGATCAGTATTTCAGAACCGGGCGTCAATCTATCTTAATTGCCACCAAATTAGAAACAATATAAAAGTATAAAGATAGAAAATGATTATCTCACAAAACCAAACTTCCTTTGCCTTTAAAATAATCAATAAGTAATATCTTACAACAAATTGAATTTGCCAAGAAATTTCTTCCTGAATAGTTAAAGCATATACATTTAAAAATATTCGTCATTACAGTGAGTGACAGTTCAAAGGGACGGCATCAAGTGCTTTCTCTACATTTGAATGCTGAGATCTCTCGCTCGGTATCTTCATTAACTCCGAGATTATCAAAAATCTTGAATAAAACGTCCCCCAACCAGAAATATTTCCATTTTAAATCATTCTTAAAGTTGGCTCTTTGACCTCTCAAGAAATGTTTTAACGTAAATTTTAATCTTGATTTGGAGGAAGATATAAAACTGGGTACACTTTAAGGAAAATTGTATTCCCGATTTAGAAATTTTTTATCTCGTATTTTAGATGCAGTTTTACAGTTTTAATGAAAAAAGAATTCTTTGGATGACATCACAACTAATACACTTGGATAAAAACTCGTTTGACCTCAGTTCAGTAGTTCCGCGTTTATAGAATAGGGCTAAGATCTCTTTTGTATGACTAAAATGGGAATTGGCGAATCGGCACAGAAGACCATTTTGTTTGGTAATGCTGTAGGCGAGGCCTGCTTATTATAAGGTTGCGACGCATCTGCAACCCTACTAGTATTGCATATGTCTATGGGCGGCGGTTACCACTTAACACGTTCACTGTTCAGGATTATTTTGAAATTATCTTTGACGTCCAATTTATTTTTTCCTTCGTATCTATTTAGATACTTCAATGAATCAATTGTATTCAGATTCTCACTTAAAAAAAAACACTAAAAGACCAGGAAATGGCAAACTAGGGTGAACGAGAAGACCAATTCGTCCGTCCAAAGGTCCGAAACAGGCTTCAAGAAAATCATGATAACAATGGGAGCTCTAAAACAATTCCACGATGATTTCATGAAGCTGATATAAAGCCTTGTATAAAGGCTTACAAACAACCCCAAACTTCTCAGAGAACATCAAGTTCCCAGGAGGTTCTTAGTGGACAAGGCGTCTGCGATATATCTTATTTCTTAAAACGAAATTTATTTTTAATTAAATTTTATATTTCTAAATATAGTGCTCCGTGTATAATTTATTCTAGATGGAGTTAACAGAGAATCAATGTTTTCTTTTCTAGAATGACAGGGATTTTTTAAACTTTATAAATTTTTGTGATGCATCTTCAAATATTTATGTCATGTAATCTAACATCTATTAGCGACAACGTAAGCGTGAGCGTATAATATGTTTCAATTATTTTAAGTTTACATCTTAGTTTTTTTTAAGTATATAGCTTGCTGAAACGAATTCTATTGTATTTAGTTTCAACTTTTACACGTTATGTATGTCTACAATATCACTTATTACTCAACTTCCTGTACTGTCCTAATCCTCTGACCTTTTTAATACTGATTTAACAATTCGAGTGCCGTATTCGAAATGGTCGAGCGCGGCCAATTCCAGTGACAATTCAACCCAAACGTTCGACCGCCCTTGCATATTTACGACACCTTTAAAAAGTAACAGAGCATCCGAATTGGCTTTTCGCAGGTTGAATATTTGTGCCAAACCGAAATTTTGCTTACAGTTAAATGGGAACGCAAGCGGATATAGGAAAAATGCAAAATAGTGCATGTCTTAAGTCAGATTAGTTTAGATTAGTTTGAGAATTTACTCGGTAATGAACCTTCACCTAAGAACATCTACGACATTCTTGCAGATGAATGCCCAACGTTATAGAAAACGGACATTTGCAAAAGTAAATACATGAATTGGGTATATCCTAAGTTTGTTTCGCAACTCCGAAAGATATATACGATATTTTGCTCACTTTTAAAATCGGTTCTGCAAAAGTGTATCTTTTACCAAAGTAAATAAGAAACGAGTAATATGATGCTGTCATGATTTGGAATTTGTATGATTAAGATTCACACCAGCGTGAGACATAAATATAAGTGCATGGTATACTAGTTTTCACCAGGTAAACAATGCATGATTTGGTCTTTCATTACTGCTTCATTATATTTTCGGATCAAAGACAGAAGCGCAAGGACGGACAGGCGTTTAGTTCTCCATCAAACGGATATTGTATATATACAGTTTCCGCACTTTGGTTATTAGTTTTGCAACCCTTTGACGATGCCACGGAAGGCTTCAGAATCTTGACCTAGCCATTGCTATATATCATATCAACGTAAGAAAACTTATTTGTTCCGAAGGGTGGTGTTTATCAAATAAGATAAGCATTAAGAAAAACCGTAAAAAACCGTTCCGTATCATTGTCTATAAAAACGACAAAAATCATGTCTGTTGTATGGGAGCCCCACTTAAATATTTTTTTTATTCTATTTTTAGTATTTGCTGTTAAATCGGCAACAAAAATACGTGAAAAATGCAACTATCTAACTACATGGTTCATGAGATACGAACCAACATGACCAACCGTCAGACATACAAATAGACAGACAGTAGAATTTTAGTAATAGGGTCCCGTTTTACCCTTTGGGTACGGAACCTTACACAATTTTTTCAAAAGCTCCAACGATTTAAAATTTTAGTGCATATTTTGTTTATTTTTAAATTTTTTGGCTTTAATTTTGGGCTTTTTTTAATTTTGGGCTTTATTTGAAAGCCCGCGTTTTGTGGGTGGGCAAATTTGTTATCTCAACATGGTGTATCATTGCCTGTATTTTTTAGTATTTCACACCAAATCTTTCACTACCACACATTCATTCAACTCTATAAATTTAAAGCATTCTAAATTATGATTCATTAATAAGAAAGATTAACGAATAATAACACGTAACTAATAAATATGATAGTAAGTATTATGAATGAAGTAGATTCAATAAGAATAGGGTCCGATATATAATCACGTGCTCAGCGGTGAAGGAAAACATCCTGAGGAAACTTGCATATTTTAGAAATAATAATAAAAGAATTTATTTCGAAGATATGTGGAGTCCGCCAATCCGCATTGGGGCCGCGTGGTGCACTATTTTCTAAACCCTCTGTACAGAGGAGGCCTTTGCCCTGCAGTGGGACATGTATTGGCTGATACTTTACTTTTTACTATATTACATAAATAGTTACATAAGTTAGTTACCTTATAAAGTATGCCTGTCAGGTAAGTTGTTTGTAAATAGTTTAGCGTAATTGAATATATAAAATAAAAATAAAATAAATTAAAACATTTAAATGTTTGGATACGGAAGAAGCAAAAACTTTGAATGAAAAGGATCATCCGTCATGTTTATGTATTTATATCTCTATATATAAAAATTAAGCTTCCGTAAGTTTGTGTCCATAGAAGTAGATGGATTGACTCCATATTTATTCACAACTTTGCTATAGAACAAAATACTGGTTATTGTAAATGTTTCTAATTTTTTTTTCTAGCAATTTAAGTTTCTCACTAATATTCTGAAGTTCCAACGCAAGCTAAAAAAACAGGTTCAGCATTTAACATCTGTAAGAGCTAAATAACTATTTATAACATTTTTTTAATCTATAATAGGGGATAACCGAGCTTAGGTTAACCCTGATGAAAGTCATAAATTAAGTAAGATTTACGTTTGATTACGTTTGATGTGTCGCATCTCCAAAAATTACGTAACATTCAAATCGTCAATGTGCAACAGAATTCAAGAGGGTCATTACTGATAACGTTTTCAATAGTTTTACACTTCGGACGGTGATAAAGAAAAATAATTTTGAATGGTGAGTGCCATAAAAGTTAGCGCTATCGGGTAAACACATTTAAAAGTTTATCAAAGTACTATTTAATACAAGAATTTCGTTAGCAGCTTACCATAAAGTGAATTTAAGCGAGCACTGATGACCACTTAGCGTTGCAAAAAATTGAAATGCGAAAATTCGGGAAGACGATGCGCAAAGTTGGACTCGCAAGTGAACGCGTTGGAAGCGTACGCTCTCCTCGCCGACTGTTACCGTACTGAATAGCGCCGCTGGTGCAATTTCCTGGCTAGCATAACTTGAAGGGAACGCGGCCTCATCCCTCCCCGTAGAGTTCTAGGTCCCCTACTTAGAAGAGGACGGGGGAGGTCAGATAACGCCGGTTCATTAGGGGCGATGGGCTTTTCAGATTTGTTTATACACGCCGATAGATTTCCGAGGGTCGCTTTTTCAATGTATCGGGGTATTGTGTTTGTGTCTATAGATCGGTGCGAATTTTCGCTTATGATTGAATGATTTAATGACAACGAATAGATTACGATGACACGAGGAGGAATGAACGCGGTACAGCAGAAATAATCCCGGTTAAACTTTATTCAGTTTGTTTCTGTTATGAATGACAATAATGTGTGTGATAAAATTTTTTTTACACATGTTTTCTCTTCAGACTAAGTGCCGAAGTATATTATACTTTCACTTCAGGCCGGTCTTCTGTATAGTAGTGATGTAGTATTTACCGGGACGGACCTGCCCATTAGAGCCATGACAGCTCAGTGTCCGGGCGCTCGCCTTTAATTCAATATACTCGAGCAACTTGAGTTCGATCCCCGGTGCCGGCATCAATGCAGTTTTTAAATTTAAGTACCGTCTTACCACGTGCTCCGCGGTGAAGGAAAACATCGTGAGGAAACCTGCATATTTTCGAAATAATAACAAAAAAAAATATATTTCGAAGATATGTGAAGTCCGCCAATCCGCAGTGGGACCGCGTGGTGGACTATGCCCTGTTACCCTGTTACCCTCTGTATAGAGGAGGCCTTTGCCCACCTGTGGTGACCCTAATAAAGTGATTTTGAAGGTTTCATTTACTTTTCGTATTGAATAAATACAACGTCGGCTGGTCTTAGCATTACTAATATGATGCACACGTTGTGCCGACCTCGCCTAAGTGGTATAAGTGTGAAATGTAGATCAGGAGACACAAAATGTACGTTTATGTTAAAAAAGTATCATCGAGACATTAGCTGCCTGCCTTATTTTGGTTGCTATTGATTTGCCGATACCATATTCATCATGACAGAATCGCTGGAATCCTTGGTACTATGCTCAATGACCTCAACAGTGTCTCCCAAAACAGTGTCTGCTAAAGTGGGCCTTAAGATGAACATGGACAAGACGAAGATCATGTCTAACGTGCATGTCAAGCCTATACCGGTTGTTGTTGAAGAACTGAGATCGAAGTTGTTGACCAGAACGTTTACCTACGCACGACGGAGAGGTCAATCCAACTCGGATGGACTGCGTTCGGGAAACTTCGGCATATCTTCACGTCTAATATCCCTCATGGTTTGAAGACCAGACAAAAGCCTGCAATCAATGTGTGTAGCCAACGATGACCTACGGAACCGAGACGTGGTCCTTCACTGCTGGTCGTATAAGGAAGCTCAATGTCGCTCAGCGAGCTATGGAGCGGGCTCGGTATTTCTGTGCGTGATAGAGTTCATAACGAAGACGTCCGCTGTAGAACCAAGGTAACCGATATAGCTCAGAAGATTAGCAAGCTGAAGTGGCGATGGACCGGCCATATAGCTCGTAGAACCGATAACCGTTGGGAAAGAAAGGTTCTCGAGTGGCAGCCTCGTACTGGCCATCGCAGTGTGGGACGAAACACCCACTAGATGGAGTAACAAGCTGTGTAAGTGTGCGGGAAGTCGATGAATGCAGGAGGCTCAGGATCGTACATCGGGGCAGTCTATGGGGGAGGCCTGTGTTCAGCAGTGGACTCAAACAGGCTGAAATGATGTTGATGTATGTCACGAACCAAGGCCTTTTTCCCCTATTCTTCTTTAAAAGCTTCATTGGTAATTATTTTATGCAATAACACCTCTGCGTCAACTGCGGTTTATATGTATGTACATAATACATATTATGTTACTTTATCGCCTACAAGAAATTTGACCTCGATTTTCATCATTTAGAATTGTCTCGAAAAGTAGTTTATATAGGATAGTTATGCATTGCGATATTGTTACCATCATAGTTTATTACCGTTAAGAAAATTGTAAATTTTTGGAATAAAAGACATACTACTTTCTCAAAACCAAATTGCTTTCCATTTCAGCTATATGCTTTAAGCTGTGGCTGTAGAGGCAACCAGTTCCTATTTTATGGGTTAAATTCGGAAGGGATAAAACTTGATTTCAATCATTAGTTAAACCATATATATTCATATAATACAAGGTTAGACAGAATATTCAAACACTTTTACTAAGCTAGTGCATTTTTTTGCTGTCACGCACTAGGCGTCCCTTACCTATAAGAAAAAGTGGAAAAAAGTAAAGTTTCACCCTATATGTGCCCCACTGCTGGGCAAAGGCCTCCTCTGTACAGAGGGTATCAGGGCATAGTCCACTACGCGGCCCCAATGCAGATTGGCGGACTTCACAGGCCTTCGAAAATTTTTTTTTTATTATTATTTGAAAATATGCAGGTTGCCTCACGATGTTTTCCTTCACCGCTGAGTACGTGATGTGGCACTTTAAATTAACAATTTCATTGGTAGCGGCACCGGGGATCGAACTCAGGTTGCTCGAGTATATTGAATTTTGACTTCAGCAATGCATTCAATACTGTAGATTATGACATATTGCTCGCTATTCTGCGTTCTCTCAACATATCTCCGATTGTGGTTGACTGGTTTCATAGTTACTTGTTTGGTCGCCGACAACGTGTTCAGGTGCAGGATGTTTTCTCTTCCTGGAATAACAATGTTGCCGGCGTTCCACAAGGCGGCGTGCTCTTCTGTTTGCAATCTTCATTAATACGATAAGCTCTCACCTATCTTCTTCCTACCACTTGTACGCTGATGATCTCCAGATTTATACTCAATCGTCTCTGGCAAACCTGCCTATATCGATTGAAAGCACTAACGGTGATTTGGCTTGTATTTCTAATTGGAGTAAGGCATATGGTTTGACTATCAATCCTACGAAAACTCAAGCCATCATCATCGGGAGTTCTAGGTTGGCCGCTAAAATCGACTGGTCTTCTTTACCCCCAATTATTCTTAACGGTACTCACATCCCGTACAGTAAAAAGTTGAAGAATTTGGGAATATTTTTTGAAACCTGTCTGACATGGACACCACAGATAAATGAGACTAGTAAGAAAATGTTCTCTGCTATAGGCTCCTTACGAAGACTGCGTAATTTTCTTCCTACTGCTACTAAAGTTGCGCTCGCTCTTTCACTACTTCTGCCCATCCTTGACTATGCTGATATTTGCTATCTTGACATTACCGAAGTACAGCTTAATAAATTTGAGTGGATTCAAAATTTGTGTTTTCACGTAAATATGATCATGTTTCCGATTTTCGTACACAGCTCAAGTGGCTCCAAATCCGCCTTCGCAGGAATACCCATATTCTCTCTGCTTTGTACAGTGTGTTGTTTAATCCCTCTACTCGGAAATACTTAAAAGATCGCTTCGAGTATCTTTCCTTATCCCATGAAAGGTCCCTTCGTTCTTCTGCCAATCTCCCCCTCCAAACTCCTGTACATTCCTCTTCCTTCTTCAAAAAATCTTTTACAGTGACAGCTATGCGTTTGTGGAATTCTTTGCCCCTTCACATTCGACAAGCTAAGTCACTTCTTTCTTTTAAAAACCTATTAAAAGCTCATTACTTGGAACTGTGAATTCACGCTTTCCTTTTTCCTTTCCTATTTTTCCTGAAATCTTTGACTATCTCATTGACGTATAAATGCCTTCATCCGATGTTCATAAGTGATTCATGTACACCTCCCTCTGCTCTCTTCTTTATGTCTCATTAGCAAATATTCTTTTCACAATGGTTGTCTGGAAGAAATCGCTTTCAGAGCGATAAGACCGCCTATTGTACTTCCTTTTATATTCATTTGTAATTTGCTTTTTATATATTTTTATTTTTGGTGTACAATAAAGTATAAATAAATTTTAGGCGAGCGCCCGGACACTGAGCTATTATATATATATTAAAAGAATGTAATATTCTTTTTTCATCTTCTTATCCTACCCGAGTTCAAATCTCCATTTCGGGAACAATGGAATTGTTAATTGCAATTTTAAGTGCTGTTTCGTCACGTGCTCGGCGGTGAAGGAAAACATCGTGCCCTAATTCTTATCCAATAGTGGGAAATATACAGGCTATTACTTTATACACACTTATTACACCAATCATCCGGAAGAAACCTTGCAAAAGCGGAACGGCGCATTGTGTATACATGTACGTATTTGGTATCTTTTTGATTTAGTCATATATTATGTATATTCCACTACCTACGTAGTATTGCACTACCTACGTAAATAGTAAACGTTCCTTTACGCCATTGGTTGTCTGGACGAGATCGCTATGAAGCCATAAGGCCGCCAAATTGTGCATTCCATTAATTTATTTGTCTATTGTTCATATTGCGTATCCTTTTATGTGTGGTGGACAATAAAGTATTCATTCATCCATTCATTCATTCATTCATTCATTCATTCATTCATTGCTGTCGAATACCACCTACAGACTGGAACTACTCTCCCCGTTGGGAGCTAAAGGCAAAAGCGATGAGTGTTCAGTTAAAATTTACTTAGTACACAACCTAGGAAGCCATTAGTGGAGCGGTCAATACCATTCTTAAGACGCTTAAAGGTTTTGGCCTTTCTCCAAAACCCTCTCAAGCGATGTACCGGATTAAAGTTGGATCCCGAGCAACTTCATTTAGTCCGTCTCGAATTTACACAGTGGAATGTAGTCGAGTGACAATTTCTTGTCATCAACAAAAGGTTCTCAGTCCATTTTAGAACAGAAAATAGTTTCTGAGATCAATGTTTTACATTTAAAGGTTTTTTTAATATCATTTTTTTATGTGAAAA